TTTTTACTAATTCATATTTTTACTTACAATAGAGGATCTACCTTAATGCCAATAGTTTCTAGTGTTTTGTAGGTGATTATACTATGACTGACAAAGTATTCTTGTGATAAGGACACTTGTGCTGATGTTTTAATGAAATTTTCTTACTTTGGGATGTTTTGCATGTTTTGCATGTTTTTGTAGCTGCAGACTTTGGACACAAAATGAACTGTTGTGCCAAGTTGGGTGTTTCTGCAGACAGAAATGTTCTGTAGAAGTGAAATTCAGTGCTTCTTAGTGTAAGAATACAGAATAATGAGCCTTACAATGAGATAAGCCTGGATATTGAAGGAATTAAAGCTGTTTAGTAATCCAGATTGAGTCTCATTATCCTGCCAGAGGTGAACTGAGGAGCCAAAAACCATCTCTAGGTAAAAGTACAGTTACTTAAATGTAATAATGATTTAAGCAGAAGTAGCTGTTAAAATCCAATACAGTTGAAACATACCAGTAGAAAACCTCCTCAAGTATTGAGTTCCCCTTCAGCATTTATCAACTCAGGCAGTGAAGATTTTTAGCTGCTGTTCTCTTTTTGTGCTTCTTTCGGTCTAAAATAACATACTAAATCCCAAACATGAGAGGTGTGAGGCAACACCAAAGCTGAACCAACAGAACTGAATCTAATTAAACCTAACAATGGAAACAGGAGCTAAATATGAAGGACTGAAATGGAGCTGGAGAAAAAGATTTCTCATAAATTTACCTGGGTAGAGAGCATCATTAGGGAATACTCAGAAAAGTACAAATCCTTCAGATTCTTATATAGTGGAACTGAGTAAATAGAACTAGTTATTACTCACTGATCATTCTTGCATCTTCTCTCTTGTGGCTTTCAGGGAGTGGGTGAGGAGAGCAGCAGAGGGTCAACAATTGTACATATAAAAATTCAATTTGCTGTTCAGTCAAAACTTTGTCTTTGCTGCTTCACATCTGGCGTCTTTCATTTGTTCTCTCCCTGTGTTTCCTTCTTTCATGTTGTCCTTTCGGTCCTCTAAGCTTCAAATTTAGCAGCATGTGTGATGATGAGGATGGAGAGCGCTGGAGAGAAATCGCCTCTGGCCTGGCGCTTGACAGCGAGAGAAAGAAATCAATATGTATTAAACCGGACGCTGTGCTGGGGCAATTAAACGGCTCCTCCATAACTTGCTCTGGTTCCTGAAGCGAGTAAAGACATGTGTCATGTGATCAGGAACATGGCTCCCAGTCTGCAGCTGTTCTACCTTCAGAGGCCTGTAGAAGGGTTCAGCTCATCACCTCATAGAACACTGTTTATTGTTCTTACTTTCTTTCTTTTTTGTTGCTGTTGTTATTAATGTAGGGTGTTTTTTATATGTTTTTAGATGTGAAGCACTCCATGAAACTGACATGTAACTCACTCACTCAGTCACTTAATGAATCAGTCAGACAGTCACTCACTTGTGCACTCACTAGCTCATGCATTCACCCACTCATTTGCACTCAGTCAGTCACTCACTCACTCACACACTCAGTTAGTCAGTCACTCACTCACTCATACACTTACTCACTCAATCACTCACACATGGACTCGCTCACTCACAAACTCACTCATACTCATGCACTCACTCTCTAATTCATGCACTTCATCACTCAGTCAATCTATCACTAATGCAATGACTCATTCATTTGCACTCAGTCAGTCAGTCACTCACTCACTCACTCACTCACTCACTCACTCATGCACTCACTCAGTCACTCACTCACTCACTCTTTTACTCACTCACACATTCACTCACTCAGGCAATCAGTCACTCACTCACTCATGCACTCACACATGTAATAACTCACACACTCATTCACTCACATACTCATCTCACTCAGTCACCCACTCACGCACCCACTCACACAGTCACTCACTCATGCATTCAGTCAGTCAGTCAGTCACTCACTCACTCATGCACTCACTCACATACTCACTCAATCAGGCAATCAGTCACTCATACACTCATGTGCTCACACATGTAATAACTCACTCACTCAGTCAGTCATCCACTCATGCACCCACTCACACAATCACTCAGTCAGTCAGTCACTCACTTACTTTCACCCTGACTCACACACTCTCAGTCACTCACTCACTCAAACACTTATTCACTCAGTCACTCTTTCACTCATGCACTCACACTCACTCAGTCACTTAGTCAGTCACTCACTCATGCACACTCACACACTTACTTACTTAATAATCTGCACTTAATAGTCTGATAAAATGTTTTTCGATCAGTACATGCGCTTGGGTAATCAGATAATGAGAAACTCCAGGTCTACACGAGTCAGGCAGTAATCAGATTTCTGCCTTGCAACCGGCCAATAAACTCACAAAATAAGATGTAACATAAACAAAATATGTAATAACTTCATGCTACGGCTTATCTTTAAAACATCGAGTCACTTTAAACACTGCTCGCTGTTTCCTGGACAGCACTCTGTTTTCGCACATGTGCAGATTGAGAAAAACGAAAGAAATCAGAGTAAGAGTATACGTGCACTGCAAAAAGCTGATTACTTAGCTAAAATCCAGGTCTCTAAATTGAATTTCTAGAAATCTGATAACAGCCTTAATCTGATCTAAGAAGTTGGAGTATGCTATTTACATGACCACTTCAATATTCAGATAATGATCATAATATTGTTGCACATGTAAGCACATTAATTGACACTGTGTTCTGTGCTCTTGTTTCATTGTCAACTTATTTTTGTATTGTAACTTTTTATTGTTTATTATTTCTGTCTTTTTGTTGTTGTTAACTTGTTATTTATGCCTTTTGTTGTTATTAACTTATCTGGGTGTTTCAGTTGTTAATTTACTCCTTGAGTATCATTTACTGTTTGTGTTTTTGTTGCTTATTAACAATATATCTATTCTTTCTTACCATACTTTTTGTTTGTCTTGCTAACTTTCTATCTAAGTGTTTGATACTGTTTACAATTTGTGTGTTTTGGTTTTAAATGATTATTTCTTTTTATTTTTGTTAACTGATTTGTTTGTGTTGTTAACTGAGTCATTGAGTCATTTGGTCATTGTGTATTATTTATGTTTTTTGCTGTTGTCATCTTACTGTTTCAGATTCTTGTTATTTATTTATTTGTATTTTTAACATACTATTTTAGTTTTTGTCATTGTTTACTATTTGTGTTCGGTGTTAACTTACATTTTCTAAATTTTTATTGTTGTTAAGTAATTATTTGTTGTTTGTATTGTTAACTTACTGAGTCTTGTTGTTTACTATTTGTGTTTTTTGTAGTTGTTTACTGATTATTTCTGTTTTTGTTGCTCTCATCCTTTTATTAGTGTTATTTCCTCTTGCCATTGTGGTTATAGACTATTTTTTCTACATTGTTCAGGCTCCTGAACTCACATGCCCTGTGGTCACTATAGTATTTGCATTGACCACCTGTGTGAGGTCACCTGGTCTTTCAGTAATAACCACCAGAGTCTGCACTGCTAATGCATTTGTTCTTAAACTTAATTCATCTTAAACTTACTAGCTTATTATTTATCATTATTTCTTATACACGTCTTTCTTGTTATTGTTGTTGTGAATTTAATATTTGGATGTGTTGTTAATTTACTATTTCTATTCCTGTTTTTTGTTGCAAACTAACATTTTTATTTGTTATTAAAGGGCCCATATCATGGAAAACCCATTTTCCTAGTTTTTTTTTTTTTTAATTTGTTAAATTTTTCCAAACGCGCCCATCACTCCACAGTCCATAAAGACCAAAAGTGAAATTAAGCTGTAAAAACAGTCTCTTCATTTCCATTAAAAAACAACCAATCTATTTACATAAATTCACATATGTTCAGCCTAAAGCAGTTTAGCTCCGCCTTCTCACACTAACATTATAAGGAGTGTTTCAACTCAGACTGACACACATATATAGGGCGGCCTATCAGACCAGAGTCTATTTACATAAGTCAGTTATAAAGGCACAGTAACAAACACTGTCTTTTATAAGGGATACAGTGGTTGGAAACTGGTCATGTGAAAAATAATTACAGCTGTTTTTGGTACATAAACTCACTTAAACAATAGTGGACCTAAATTTCAAAATATAGGATATGGGGAAAATATGTTTGTTTGCATTAGCGCACTTCACAGTTTAAAGTTGTTTATTCCCTGCACTGTGTAGGCTAATGAACTCGAATGCCCTGTAGTGAGTGTAGTATTTGCATTGACCACCTGTGTGGGCTGCTGTATGGTCTTTCGGTAATAACCACCAGAGTGAGCGCTGCTATGCTGCTCAGTCGAGTCTTTGCGCTGCAGGTGCTCAGACTGCGCTTCTGCGTTTCTGCGCGTTGGGTGTGTTTATAACTCTGACGCGGTGCCACGATAACGTGAAACACCTGGAGCGCGAGAGTGTTTGTCGGAAGTTGTGATTTAGACCAGCAGAGCTCTGGACCCGATTCAGAGTGGACACACGAACGCTCCAGATTCCGAGTCTTTTCGCGGTGAAAACAGCGGAGGAGGAAAACAGCGCTGTCCGGAGTGCTGAGTACTGCTCTCTCTCTCTCTCTCTCTCTCTCTCTCTCTCTCTGACTCACCCTCAAATGCTCAGTCTTTCTCTCACTCACACACATACAAACAGACACTCTATCGCTCTCTCTTTCTCGTTTTCTCTCTCTGTGCTTCTCTCTCACCCCCTCCTCTCTCTCTCTCTCTCTCTCAAACTCCGCTGGTCGTGGTAGAGGCAGCGCGGCTGATCGGAGCTGAAAGTTGAGAGGCGGCCAGCGGCGGGAAGCGGAGGGAGCGAGACAGCGACTCTACAGCGCGCGAACAGCGCGAGCGCATCGATTCATCACCATTATTATTGATTGTTTGATTGCTCAGCTGATTGATTGATTGATTGATTGATTGATTATTTTCCTTTACTATGCTGCGCATTTTGCCCGTCGCCTCGTGAGCCCCCACGGAGAAAACAAAGCCCCGGGCTCCAGCACCATGATCTGGACTCTGCTGCTCTCTTGCTGCGCCACTTTCGTGCTGGGCAACGGGACGCGGGACGCGGAGCGTGTGCCTTTCTTCCACGGCCACGTGTTTGAGAACTCGCCGGTGGGCTCGCGCGTGAACGGGCTCAGCATCCCCGCGCGGCGCGTGGGCGCGGAGCCCGGCGCGCGCCTGCGGCTCCTGGGCGACGGTAGCGAGGCGTTCCGCGCGTTTGCGCACCACAAGCACGGCCACGTGCTGCTGAAGACCGCCGCCGTGCTGGACCGCGAGCGGCGCTCTGGATACGTGCTGGGGCTCGCGCCGTGCCGTCGTGCCGCCACTGCCTCTGCGGTGGCGTCGGTGCGCGTGGACGTGCTGGACACCAACGACCACGAGCCGACTTTCCGGCACGCGGGCATCACGCTCGCGCTGGACGACGCGACGGCGCTGCGCTCCGTGGTGCACCGCGTGGCCGCCGAGGACACGGACAGCGGCAAGAACGCGGAGCTCACGTACTTCGCGCTCCCGCGCAACGGCAGCTTCTACGTGGTGCCCAAAACAGGCGACGTGCTGCTCGTGGACTCCATCCTGGGGCTCGCCACGCCGGTGCGCTTCACTGTGTTCGCGCGCGACCGTGGCTGGCCCTCGCGCACCAGCCCCGGCGTGGAGATCGAGGTCCGGCCGCGCCAGGCCAGACCGTCGGTCCCCGTGTCCGCGCCCCAGGCTCAGCGCCGCGGGGGCGCGCTGCCGCGGAAATCTCGCCGCTCCGTGCACGAGCCAGAGCAGCCCTCGCTGGTCAGCGTGTCCGAGGACGCGGCCGTGGGCTCGGTCATCATGAGCATGAGTCCCGCGCGCTTTCAGGCGGCCACTTTCGAGCTGCTCCAGCCCGAGGATGAGAAGGACCCTCCGGTGGCCGTGAACCGGGACAGCGGCGAGCTAATCATCTCTCGGAGTCTGGACCGCGAGAGCGAGCCGCTGGTGGAGGTGACCGTCAGAGTGCAGGACAAGAGAGGTGAGTTCAGCTGTGCTTCACTACACAAAAGTTTGGGTTTACTTTTTCTTGCCCTCCGATCTCCTGAACTTCTGCAGAGTTAGCGGTCTTTCTTTCTTTCTTTCTTTCTTTCTTTCTTTCTTTCTTTCTTCTCCTGTAGTTCCTAACCCTGTGTACACTTTGCGAACTTTTTTCTTCCTTTCTTTTATGTATTTCCTACTTTCTACTTTTATGAAAGCATTTTAAATTGTGTTTAATTTTTTATCCCATTAAAATGTCCCCTATTTATTTATTTATTTATTTATTTATTTATTTATTTATTTGCTTGCTTGCTTGCTTGCTTGCTTGCTGTCTTCCGTTGCACTGCTGTTCACTGCAGTGAGAGTGCCACTCAATCAGGGCTGGGCAGTATTACAATTTACATCGTTATCGTGATGAATTATGTCGCAGTACAGTGTGCTTTTCTGAACTTATTGTGCATAGCGTCAGTACTTGTACACTCTCAGAAAAAAAAGTACTAAACTCTCTCTGGTGCAGTGCCCCTCTTGGCACTGGGGTGGGATCTCAGTACCTTTAGTCAGGGAACATAATTGTACCATAATCCACTGAAATTATATTTTCTAAGTTGTATTGACTCCACACACCCCGTCTCGTCTCCAGGCTTTTTATTTTATTGTTCTGTTTTAAAACATTAGGTTGTGAAAAGGTACAAATATGTACTTTTCACCTGAAAAAAAAAACGTATTTAAAGTACACAGTTGCACCTTTAACCCACTGTTGTACCATAGAGGGAACATTTACATTGTTTGTACCTTGATGAATGTACCTGCACTGTACCTTTATTTTTAACAGTGTGGAACACTGACCAACTGCCTGCTTGCTTATAGTGAGTCCTTGAGTCCTATTTAACTGGATTTAGTGCAACATAGAATGTGGAGAAATTGAATGAAAATGGTTGTATCCATCATTTTTGATGGTATTTTTTAATGTACCACTACTGGTATTTTTTGCTTTGTTTCAACTGATCAGATGTCTGAAAAAAAGTATTGTGACATATCGTGTATTATGAAAAGTTCTTTAAGTATCGCAATGTTATGTTTTTGCCACATCACCCAGCTCTACATTCAATTTTTTGTAAGCAGAGTTAGTAATGCTCCCCACCCCTCCCTGACCATGGTCTCTGACCATTCTGGCCATGTTCTTTATCATATAATTATCATATGTAACAGTTTTTTTATGTGAAGTCAGGTTCGTCATCAGATGTAAGGTCTGAGTCACTGGGTAAGCAAGGGCTATTATCATATGTAATGCAAGTTCATTGTTATATAAAATGTTAGATTAATGATATGTAACAGGTTTATTGTATTCATTATCATATGTAACGCCAGGTTAATTAGACTCATTATCATAAGTAATAGTAGGTTCGTTACAGACATTATCACATGTAATGCCAGGTTCATCATCATATCTAAGTTTCTGTATATGTAACACTAGGTAAATAAGCACTAATATCATGTATAATGTTAAGTTCATTATCATATGTAACTGGAAAGGTTAATTATGTTCATAATCATATGTAAGGGCGGGCTAATTAAGTTGATTGTCATATATAACGTCTGTCTAATTAGGCTCATTAGCATGTATAATGCCAGGATCATTGTCATAGCCTGCATAAGGCAGGTTAATTGTGTGCAGTGGTAGTTCCATTATCACCACTGGCTTTCTAAACATGTCTGCACCTGCCTGCTGAGAGAGATGCTGATGTGTGCAGTAGTGCCAACAAAACAATGAAAAAGTCACCCACTGCATTCACCCAGAGCTACATGCGTGACTCAGTCCACTCTCACTGAAAATCAGAAAGACTGACTGAGTCCAGAGAAACATATGACCACAAAAAAGTTGAACTCAGCAGACTTTAAAAAAAAAAAAAAGAAAAACCACATTTAATTGAGTTCCTCCTGTGAATTACAGCCTCAGTGCTTCATCTTATGAGTAGATATAGTCTAATGTGGAACATTATTATAAATATATAGATTCAAATGCATGATCAGAGATGAGGAGGCTAGCAGATGTTCGGTGCACTTTACTGACCTCCACTTTGTTGATTTCCCTCTCTATGCTGTATCTGGAGCTGTATCTAGCTCATTAGGTACAGTAACTACTGGCTGCGATCTTGCTCCTCAAAGCTGCATGTGCTTTAGAACAGACACAGCTTGCTCTTACACTCACTGCGCTTTAGCTAATTACCTGCAATCTATATTTCATACTGCATTTAGCTGTACAAAGCGCTGCATGAATCCTCTTACACTGTGCGTTTTCCTGAGCCGAGCTGCTGGATTGTGTGCGTGTGCCCACCGCCCCCCCCCCACCCCCCCAGCCCCCTTAACGAACAATTACACAATTACAGTTGAGCGCTGTGGGGGGCTTTGTTCAGCTAAAGCAGTGTTTCCCCAGCTGCACTGATTATATCTCTCCTTACATCACTATCTAATAATGTCTTAGGTGTGTGTGTGTGTGTGTGTGTGTGTATCTTTGTGTGTATCTGTGTGTGACTACATTATATCCACCCTTACACAGGCTATATAAACAATAATATGTGGTGTGTGTGTGTGTGTGTGTGTGAATGTGAGCTATATATAGATAGATAGATAGATAGATAGATAGATAGATTGGTTTGGTTTGGAGGTGAAGCACAGTTTGGTTTGATTTGAGTCTGGATTTAGAGATGCTGCACAGATTGGTTTGATTTGAGTCTGGATTTAGAGCTGCAGCACAGTTTGGTTTGATTTGAGTCTGGATTTAGAGCTGCAGCACAGTTCGGTTTGATTTGAGTCTGGATTTAGAGCTGCAGCACAGTTTGGTTTGATTTGAGTCTGGGTTTGGAGACGCAGCACAGTTTGGTTTGATTTGAGTCTGGATTTGGAGACGCAGCACAGTTTGGTTTGATTTGAGTCTGGATTTAGAGCTGCAGCACAGTTTGGTTTGATTTGAGTCTGGATTTAGAGCTGCAGCACAGTTTGGTTTGCATTTGGATCTGACTTTGGAGATGCTGCACAGATTGGCTTGATTTGAGTCTGGATTTGGAGATGCTGCACAGATTGGTTTGCATTTGGATCTGGCTTTGGAGATGTAGAGCACAGTTTGGTTTGGGTATGGTTTGAAGGTGCAGTACAGTTTAGTTTGGATCTAAATTTGGAGATACAGCACATTTTGGTGTGGGTTTGGGTAAGTTTAGAGGTGCAGCACAGTGTAGTTTGGTTATTGGTCGGTTTGGTGGTGCAGCACAGTTTGGTTTTTACTTGATTCTGGCTTTGGAGGTGTTGAGCATTTTGAAGGTGCTGCTTGGTTTGGTTTGGGTTTGGTTAGGGAGTCCATCACAGTTTGGTTTGGTTTAATTTTGGTTGGGGGCTGGGTTTGGAGGTGCAGCACAGTGTGGTTTCGGTTTGGATCGGTTTGGAGGTGCAGCACAGTGTGGTTTGGGTCAGATTGGAGGTGCAGCACAGTGTGTTTTGGGTTTGGATCGATTTGGAGGTGCAGCACAGTGTGTTTTGGATTTGGGTCATTTTTTTCGAGCACTGTGTCGGTTTGGGGGTGCAGCACCGTGTGGTTTGGGTTTGTGTCAGTTTGGAGGTGCAGCACAGTTTGGTTTGGGTTTGGGTCAGTTTGGAGGTGCAGCACAGTGTGGTTTGGGTTTGGGTCAGTTTGGAGGTGCAGCACAGTGTGTTTTGGATTTGGGTCATTTTTTTCGAGCACTGTGTGCTTTGGGTCGGTTTAGAGATACAGCACAGTGTGGTTTGGGTTTGAGGCTTTGGAATGTAGAGCACAGTTTTGTTTGGGTTCGAGTCTGGGTTTGAAGGTGCTGCATGGTTTGGTTTTGGTTTGGTTAGGTAGTGCAGCACATTTTGGTTTGGTTTGGTTCAGATTAGGTTTGGGTTAGTTTGGAGGTGCTGCACAGTTTGCTTTGGTGTTTGATTTGGGTTTTGATTTGGTCTGGTATTAGGTTCAGAACAGTTTGGTTTGGAGGTGCAGCACATATTCATTTGGTTTGCATGAGTTTGATATGGTTTTGAGTTTGGTTTGGGATGCAACACAGTTGAGTTTGGTTTTGGGGTTTGTTGGGGGTTTTGAATTTGTTTTGGTTTGTGTGGAGAGAGAGAGAGAGTGAGAGAGAGAGAGCATCATACTGGTGAACAGCTGGAGCAGAACCAGTGCATTGTGAGCCTGCAGTGTCATTTCGGCTGTGTTATTTATTAGCTGATCCTGGCCTGAGAGTTTGGTCAGCGTTTGGTTTTAGGATTCATTTGGTTTGGGGTTTGCTGTGGTTTGGTATTAGGTTTGATTTGGGGTTTGGTTATGGGTTTGGTTAGCAGGCTCTATTGCGCTGGGCGGGCGGCGCTGGGCTTTGTGGGAAGCCTGGACGCTCTAATCCTTTTTGAGGAGGAGATTCAGCTCGACCTTCCTTCATCTGCTCGCATTAGCCGTGTAATCCCATCTCATTCACTTTCTCATTTCAGGGATTTTAAGAGTGGCAGTGCAGTTAGCTGAAGGGAGCTGCTGCGTTTCTTTGAGGGAGGAACGAAGCGAGCCGTTTTAAGTTCCGCTGGGTTTGAGCCTGGGCTCGTGCTCTCATTGGCTGGGAGGAAGGCCAGAGTCCGTGATTTAATTAGCGCGGCGTGTTAGTGTGTTAATCACGGCCTGTCCGCGTGCGAGGCTCCCGGCCGTGCATGTGGACAGTGTGTGTCCGTGTGTGTGCTCGTTAACTGCTGTACGGCCAGTCTCCGTATGAATATCGTGCTGCGTGTGTGTCTCATTGGAGTGAAGAAAGAGCAGTAATGAGGGAAAACAGCTGGTCTAATCAAGAGTGAGGAAGAGGGCATCTGCTGACCTCAGATGCATATGAATACACACACAAATTTGTATACCTCTCTTTGTGGGATGTTTACGTGTCCTTCTGTATGGCTGCAGAGAGGTGGTTTCATGACTGGGGTGGGGGGCTTTTGTGTCCTGCTGATATTACATAT